CATGCACAGTTCACAGATGGCTTCCTGCACATCCCTCTTCTTTATTTTTTAAATGCAAATGTGGGACAATTACTTCGAGTTTCTGGATCCTTGTTCTGAGGGTATGGAAACCTACTATCCTGATATAAAAAGAATTAGTAGCAAACATATCATTCCAATAATATACCATGCAGAATGTTTCAATATATTTCCAGGATTAAAGCCAATTAATCCATGAAGTATTTTATCAGCTGGGGATGCAGAGTCCATGAGATTGATCCTGATTTTCTGAGTATCCTGGGTGTTATGTTGTATCTCCATAAGGTCGAAGCTATTATTATCATTATGCCAAAAGCCCCTTAGATGACTTTTAATTTTTTTCCAAATCTCATTGGGAAGGATGATATTTGGCTGCAGTAACACAGACATACTTAAGTCAGCATGGCATTTAAGCCTTTGTCTAAATTTGAGGGTGGGAGACTCACTATGGACATTTGTAATGGAAATTTGAAATTTAGTTTCAATCTTTTTATTAATACTTACCTGATTGTACAGGGCTTTGGAAGTATTTTTAGCCAAATTGTTAAATAAAATAAGCTTAGTTAGATTATATTTCCACAATGGAAAGCTAACACACACCGAGTTGTTTTTCTCAGGTATTTGTCACAGCAATGAACAGCTGACTAACACAGAAAAATGGTACCGGGATTGGGACTGTTGCTGTAACTTATGTCTGACCATGTAGATCAGGATCCTGTGGAGCTCACCTGTTGGAGAAATTTGGAAAAGTTTGGAGATGCAGGTTAGAAAAGTCTTAGAATGTTTAAAGAGGAGCTGAACGGGCAATTCTGTTGTGAACCCAGAAGAGCAGAATGCTCATAGGAATGCAAACAGCAAAGGCCGTGTTCCTAAGGTCTCAGATGGGAACGAAGATTCTGGTTTGAATCTGACTACAGGCCATATGTGTTGCATTCTGGCAAAAAATTACATTTTGTCCATCTTCCGAGACTTTGTGTGAGGCTACATTTCAAGGTAATGAACTAATCAATCTGGCAAGAGAAAATTTCAAGGCAATGCAGCATTCAGGCCATGGCATGGGCATGGGTGGCAGCTTTTAGCCAGGTTTACAATGAGAACTGGAAGTAAGCAACTGATCAGAAAGATCTGAAAATTTGCAGGTTCTCCAGAAAAGCGTGTGCTTTGCGGCCAAGAAAGGTGTGGTTGCTGAAGGGATTAGTGTCACTGAAGAGAAACTAAGTATTTTGCAACAAGACAATGGGAATGATGTCTTGAGGTCATTTGAGGAATTTGCCAGATCCCACTCATCTCAGGCTCAAGGATATAAAAGTGTGAACTCTTTTGAGAAACTTTGCTTTAACATGAGAAGGCTGGCAGGACTTGCTCTCACAGGGATGTATAGGAAGCTTTTTCCAGGATTTTTTCCACCATGCTTAGTCATCCAGGCACTCAGAGGCCACTGCAGCCATGGTCCAGGATAGCATGGTTACTACTCCTGCTGGCAGCAGACCTTGCCCTGTCCATGTGGTGTTCATTTTGCAGGTATGAAGAATGCAAGAGTTACAGGGTCGTGGAGGCGTCCAGTGATATTTCAAAGAAAGGCCCAAGAAGTCAGAAAATGTGCACCAGGACCGAAATCCCTGCAAGCAACCCCTAAGAAGGTGATGAGTGAAGCCAAATCTGTAATAGAGCCTAGGAAGTTGGAGATGACAGGAACATGGGACATCTGCAGAGAAAATGTGCAGTCAGGGAGCAAAGCCAGCCTAAGAGAAAGCCCATACAGTTCGCGACTGACAAGGCCACAGAAGTGGAACTGCCCATGCCCTTCAGAGGTTCCGCTTTACCACCACGTGCCCAGCGTAACGGAGGCGAAACTGCAGGCCTCAGTGTTGACTCTGGTGGGTTTTATTCTTGTTTTGATCTTATCTCTCCTTTCTATGACCCCATTTATCCCTTTTGGGATGGGAATGCTTACCCTTTGCCATTGAATGTTGGAAGTATATAGCTTACTTTGGGGCTTTCATAGAGTCACATAGTTTAGAGTGTTTCTTGAGTCCCAGAGGAGACTTGGGGCTTGGACTTTTTTTTTTTTTTTTTTGAGAAATGATGGAACCATTAAACTTTGGAGACTATTGGAGACGGTTACATTTTTTTCAACATGAGATGGACATAAGTCTTTGCAGATCAGGGGGAGAATGTTATAAATTTGTATATAAAGTATCCCTCAAAGACTAATGTGTGAAAGGCTTGGGTCCCCCATGCAGTAAAGGAGAGGTGGGACTTTTGAGACGTGGTTGAATCATGATGACTCTTATCTCATTAGATCAATTCTCTGATAGCTGATGGACGTCGTGGCAGACAGTGAAAACTGTAGGTGAGATCCAGTTGCAGGAACTGGGAGGTCACTGAGAGCTGGGCATTTTGTGTGCCCAGCCTCTCCGTCCAGCCCCTGTACTTCATGATAGGCATGAGGCCAGCAGCTTCTTGTGGCAGACCCTCTGCCATGGTGACCTACCTTCCCTCAGGCCCAAAGGAATGGAGCCAGCTGACCAGGGACTGAAGCCTTGGCAACCTTGGGCCAGATGAATCCTTCTTCCTGTGAGCTGTTTCTTAGTTATTTGTCACAGTGGTGAAAAAGTAACACTCCTCTTCCAGCGACTTTGAAATGTATATCATTACAAACTATACTTAACCGTTTACCTTCACTTGTGCATCTTATTTATCTCTACTCATTACTAACATTTTACTTTACATTCTAATTTACCATGACATTCCTTTTCTTCTTTCATTATTTCCTGCTTTTCATTGGATTTGTTGAGATTTTTTATTACTCAATTTTTTCTACACTAATTTTAACACTGCATATCATAAAATTCATATACCCAAATCAACATATCCTAATCAGCATGCCTACCCTTCAGAAACGATTCAAATATATTAGAATTCTTTATTTTGAAATAGCCTTTCATCTAAAATTACTATCTAGTTTTTTTGTTGTTTGTTCACTGATTCTTAAATTTACTGTTGTTTTTTGCTCACTGATTTTTAATGCCATCACAAATACATTATTCTTTACAGATAGTATATTTATATTTTTACCTCTTTATAGTATTCTTTTATCTCAACCTTCTGAATCAATCTATTTCAATATACATCCTTCAGTAGTAATTCTTTCAGGATGCATCTGAGAAGTAAGTCTTTGTCCAAAAATGGCTGCACGTACTAAAAATAGTTTATCTGGACATATAATTTTAAATTGAGAATTATTGTTGCCTCAGTACTTTGAAGATGTTATTCCATTGTCCTGTGATTTCCATGGTTGATACTCCATGGTTTGTGGAGAAGGCAAAACTTTACCTCTATCTTCTTAAAATTTTCCATTGGTACTGTGAATTAACTGACATGATAGATCAACAGGAAGGAAGCTTACAAATTTCACATGGTATGAGAGTCATCATAAGAAAATGAAGATCCAAAGACACACAGTTCAGCACTTGGATTGATCATAACAGTCAATTATGAAATGTGATAAGCGTTTGACAACTTTCTTCTCAATTTCTTGTCCATAGTGCATAAACAGATCAACTATTGTGCCTTTTTATCAGTAAAACTGTTGAATTATCCCACATTTCTTAATTTCAAAAAAACTGACAGGCCTTGTCATCTTCTGGCCCCTAAAACTGGCAGTAGTATTTCACTATTCACATATAATGGCTTATTTTGACTCATCTTGTATTTTCATCCTATTGTGTGAAGCCCAGGTATCAAATATTCGGATGCTCCTTTAGACATGCACATGTACCAGTGCCAAAGTTTAACTTGCTTCACTTTTACCATATTGAAAAAAGAATCCTTTTCTAGAATGTACTTAAGCCATAGGACCTGTCAGACTGCTGTAATGTAGGACTGCCCAGTTAGACCAGAAGGAACGAGTCTACTTCTAATTCAATCAGTAATATATACGCATTAATTCACGTAGACAAAGTTGAGTCGCTTTTGCTCCCTACCTGGGAAACGACTGTCAACGCGAAAGGAAAAACTGGCTTTTGTAGCCACTAACTTTACTGTTAAAATTAGTACACATTTCACACTAACAGCTGCTAAAGCCTTTCGACTTCATTTTGTAATACGCATTTTCACCATTCTTGACTACTGGTGCTTAAAAGTGGAATTACACGACTTCAGACAGAATGTTGTAATTTGTGCACAGCCCTCTTATGAAATTGTGGGTGGCCCTGAAAAGAGCCTTTTATGTAACTTCTCCAGGATTTACGTCATTTGGAAGTTTTTCAGTTGGAGATTATTTGCTTGGAATCTTGTGGTGACGATTTTCAGTCTTCTTGGGCAGCAGTACGGCCTGGATATTGGGCAGGACGCCACCCTGCGCGATGGTCACGCCACCCAGCAACTTATTAAGCTCCTCATCGTTGCGGATGGCCAGCTGCAGGTGGCGCGGGATGATGCGCGTCTTCTTGTTGTCACGGGCAGCGTTGCCAGCCAGCTCCAGGATCTCGGCCGTCAGGTACTCCAGCACCGCTGCCAGGTAGACGGGCGCGCCGGCCCCGACCCGCTCGGCATAGTTGCCCTTGCGCAGAAGGCGGTGGATTCGGCCCACAGGAAACTGCAGTCCCGCTCTACAAGAGCGAGTCCTTGCCTTAGCGCGCGCCTTGCCGCCCTGCTTGCCACGCCCAGACATCTCTGCAGAAAGGGTCTGCCGCCAACGAAGAATACGCCCCAAACCCGGTCTATTTATAGTCTAATGACAGGTTGTGATCGCCACCTGATTGGCTATGACTGCAGAGCCAATCAGAAAGTCTTACTGGAGACCTTCATTTGCATACTCGCCACTGCTGTCGTCCAATCAGATAGTGTTTGCCCTTACGTCATTCGAGCTTTGTGCCTATAAATACCACTCTTCCCAGCCTCAAGTGGCATTGTCTTTATGGCTTCTCCTGGGAGCCGTCTTCTTTGAGCTGTTAACGTTGTAGAGCTATTTACTAGCGATGCCAGAGTTGTCTTGTAAAGGTACTACGATATCCAAGAAGGGCTTCAAGAAAGCTGTCACGAAGACTCAGAAGAAGGAGGGAAAGAAGCGCAAAAGATGCCGCAAAGAGAGCTACTCCATTTACATCTACAAGGTGCTGAAGCAGGTGCACCCTGACACAGGCATCTCCTCGAAGGCCATGAGCATCATGAATTCTTTCGTCACTGACATATTTGAACGGATAGCTGGTGAGGCGTCACGCCTGGCGCACTACAACAAGCGCTCGACCATCACGTCCCGGGAGATCCAGACGGCTGTGCGCCTGCTGCTGCCCGGGGAACTGGCCAAGCACGCCGTGTCGGAGGGCACCAAGGCTGTCACCAAATACACCAGTTCCAAGTAAATTTATTTCATAAACTTGCCTCCTAACCCAAAGGCTCTTTTAAGAGCCACCTAAATTTTCTAAAGAAAGAGCTGTGTGCTTCTCCTGTCAGCCGTAATTCTTTGGCATTTGGCACCAGTAGGTTGGTTTTGTGTACTCCTGTTAACTAAACATTGTTCAGTGGTCTGAAGTTTCCTTTTAGCACATGAATCTAGAAGCTTTTCAAAGGCAGTTGTCCTCTAAGGTTTTTTGGTAGTCAACATGTAGATTCCATGTTAGGCTTTGGTAGTTCTTAGCTAGTACACATTCTCATAGTTCAATCAAAACAAGGTCTGAATAGATTTTATGGCCTTGGTCAATTTGTTTGGTAATTAAATCTAGTTATCCTCTAGGCATTGGGACTCTGCAGCCTAAAGCTCAGGTTTCTTGTCTAGATGTCCTTTATTAAGACGCTTCAAGTTTTGTTGACTTTGAAATATGGAGGTTTGCCATTCCTCTAGGGCACTTCATTCTGGAATAATATCTAACTACAATTAGTTGGCAATTAATTTTAACTGAATTTTCTCTTCATACCTAATAGAAATTATGGTATGATCTTAGTATTTGTTTTGGTAGAGCTATTAAAAATGGTGTTTTTATGTCCTGTTACCAGATCACTACTCTTCAAAAGCAGATAAAGTGATGAGACATTGAATTCAACTCTTAAAAAGGTATTAACTGGAAACAATACAATTTTTAAATTGCTATATTCTGGAAACTTGCTTATTGGAACTCTCAATTTGATGATGTTTTTCTTTCATTTAAAAATACTTAGACTATGCATAAGATTTTGTTTTTTACATGAAAAAGCTTTAGTTTCATTTGATAGTATATCTGAATGTACAGGAAAAAAATCCAAAATAAAATGCCCTGTACTTCTATGCAAAGCTAGGTTCCTGCAGAGCCTTCTTTGACTAGGAGTCCTCCAAGGTGGCAGACAGGGTTCTGTGCCAGTATAGCTCCAGCTGCCCCATCACACTCTGAGAAACAGCAGATACTATCCCCAAATCCCTGTCAACTTTGTGACCACTCCTAACAGGCTACTCTAATTACCCAAGGATGGTTTTTAGGATTATTTGGGCAAATGTAAAAAAGGTAACTAGGAAAAGCATCTCTTCAGAGGAAACCTGACATAGCCTTTATCTCCAATATATTTTGGCTACAAGTAAGAGGAAATGCCAGTTGATTTGGCTGAGGCACTACACAGGACACCAAGTCAGAGAAGTTTCCCCCAGAAGGATGATGGAAGCCCTGCTCCAGCCTTGCATTCTTGCCTCTGCCCTTTTCCACAACTGGACTTGACTCTGATGCTGGTCTGCAAGTATTCATGTAAATAGGACAAAGTAAAGGCAGGGAGAGATTGTTTCACTTGTGTCCAACTGAAAGCAAAGAGCATTCCCAGAGGTCACCCTCTAGGTCCATTCACTCAATCCAGTGCCAGGTGCTGCCAGAGCCATCTGCCTGCCTCTAGGGTACCATGTAATGGGGAAGCAATCATTTACCTTCATATAAACTTGGCATTTTAAAAACTTAAGTAAAGTTCTAAGTATTTTTTATTATTACAAATAAGGCATTTCCCTATTAATATCTTGTAATGTTTTGTTTTATATGAAAGATTGCTTTCTGTGCATTAGTAAATCCTACTATGTCACTGAATTAACTTATTTTCATATTAGTTTTCTAGTAGATGTTGCATTTTACATGTTTGCAATATTATCTGAAAATAGTAAACATTTTATTGCCTCCTTTTAATTAGTTAAATTTCTAATTTCTTTCTCTTGTCTGATTTTAGTGACTTGCACCTTTACAACAATATGAAATAGTGACAAGCACACATTCTTGCCAAAGATTCTTCTGCCATCATTCTGATTAAATATATGTTGTATTGAGGAACAATCATTCTGTCTGATTTATTGAGTTTTATATCAAGAATGGATGTTGAGTTTTGCTAAATGGCTTTTCAGTATCTCTGGAGATGATCATAGATTTTCATTTTTAGGTAGATGATGGTGAGTTATTTTAATGCACTTTCTAAATTGAGTTATCCTTGCATTCCTGCTAAAAACCCCTGCTTAGACATCATATTTAATACATTTAATGTTATGCCGACTGTTTGCAATGTATTATTTATATTTCACCACCAAAACAGAGGTATTCTCTATTTTTCTTTTTTGTGAGCAATATATTCAGCTTTTGCAGTAAAATTTTATTCCATTTATAAAATTAATATGGAAGATTGTTGTCTTATTTATACTTTGGTGTTGTTTGAACAGTATTGGAATTCTCTTTTCTTAAAAACTTTGGTAAAATTCCATTTTGAATGAATTGGTATTCGATGCCCTTTTTTTTGTGTGTGAGAGTTCTTAGTTTTCTTTTTTTTAAATATTTTTTTCAGTTGTAGATGGATACAATATCTTTATTTATTTATTTTTATGTGGTGCTGAGGATTGAACCCAGTGCCTCATGCATGCGAGACATGCGTTCTACCACTAAGCTACAACCCCAGCCCATTTTTTTTGTTGTTTGTTTTGTTTTGTCTTTATTCTGATTTGTTATATGCATTAAAATTCATATTACACTTATAGAACACAATTTTTCCTATCTCTGGTTGCATACAATGTATAGTCACACCATTCATGTCTTCATACCTGTACTTAGGGTAATGATGTCCATCTCATTCCACCATCTTTTCTACCCCCATGCCTCCTCCTTTCCTCTCCCTCCCATTTGCCCTGTCTAGAGTTCATCTAATCCTCCCATGCTCCCCCCCACATTCTCCATTATGAATCTAACTTCTTTTATCAGAGAAAACATTCAGCATTTGGTTTTTTGGGATTGGCTAACTTAGCATTATATGAAATTATTGTTTCGATATGCTAACAATATGGAATAAACTTCGATAAATAAAAACTTAGTTTTTTTTTCAGAAAAAATCATCTAAAAATAGTCCCTTAGACATAAGCAAATTCTTCACTATTGATTGTTGTCACCACTGTGTTTTCTGTAGCACAACTCCTGCATTATCTTATTTTGTATGTGCTTTCTCATTTACACAAACCGCACTAAGTAACGATTCACCCTTTATTTTATTTGTTACTTATTTATTTATTAGTACTGGGGATTGAACCCAGGGATGCTTTACCACTGAGTCTCATCCCCAGCCTCTTTTATTATTTTTTTTTATTTTGAAACAGGGTCTTACTAAGATGCTGAGGCTGGCCTTGAGCTTGAGATTCTACTGCCTCATCCTCCTGAGTCTCTGGGATTATGTGCCATGATGCTTGGTTCCTTTATTTCATTTAAACAATGTATTTCTTGTAGCTATGCATTTATTAAGTTTTACTTTTTTATTTTCTCATAACTATTGTTATTGCTTTTCTCACTATTTATTATTTCTGCTTTGCTGGTTCATTTTTCTTTTTTATTTCCCTAACTTCTTAAGTGTATGCTTACTTAACAGAGGCAGTCCTTACACTGCATGGTGTTGATAGAAATGGATTTCAGTTACCAGTGGTTAGCTCAATAACTCCAGTTGCTAAACAACCCAGTTCAAATTTCATTTACTATGGTTTTCAATAGTAATCACATAAACTAGAAACTTCACTGCTAGCTCTTCAATCCCATACACAAACAGCATACAAATCATGATTGGTGACAATTGTGTCACCACTTTTAAAGTTTGTCATTGACTTATGTTGTTTGGTTTATGCAAAGACAGGAAGCATGTTATTTGGGGATTTGCTCTAGAAGCAGGAGCAATTGTGGTTTTATTTACCTATCTGTAGACTGTGATTTTTGCATTGTCACTTCAAAGAACATAATTGGTACCAATCAGCTGAGGGCTGGGAAAAGTGCCTATTTAGAAGTATGAAGTCTGAAATCGCCACAAAAATCACTATAATGCCTTTGAACTCAGAAAAAGAGAAATATCACCCTCTAAGGGAAACTTCCTGGTCTCATCTTACAAGAGACCATCAGTTATACTGGACAAGGGAAACCCCAAGGAGAGGGACCAGAGGGGACCAAACCACATCAATCAAGTCTTCATTGTCCCACTGTGAAGGTAGTGCTGCTGGCCCTTCAGTGTGGAGTTACTTGTAGAAAACTGACTGCAGTGTGGGGCTTCCCTTTTCCAAAAAGGTTTTTAAAAATTGTGTTTCCTTTTCCTCCATTCTTCAAACATTTGCTCGTTGAATGTTATATGTGTGTGTGTAAAAAAAATATATATAAAGGAGTTCCTTAGTATCATGGGGTTTACTTTCTTGTATAGTGAAAGGTAATGTAAAAAGGCATTTATGGATGAAGGAAATATGACACAGAAAATTTAGAGCAGAATTCTTTATATTAGGAGACCAAGGAAGGCTTTGCATTTTCTAAAATATGAGATGAGATCACACTGAAATGTGAGATGAGATCACACTGAAATTTGGAGAAAGTCCTAAATCCAATGATGGGTATCTTTACCCATCAAAGGAGAACACTTGACACAAAGATACCAAGAAGATAGTTACATAGTGGGGCGTGGCAAACAGAAATTGTAGAATGTAACAATAAGCCACAGGAAGCTAAGGATCCCCATTTGCCACCAGAGTGAGGAAGGAAGCATGGCAAAGGGTCTTCCTGGACAGTCTCCAGCTGAAACAAACTCTGTTGTCATTTTTTTTTTTTTAAACTTTTGGCTTTTATAACAGTGAAAGAATATATTTCAATTGTTTTAAGCTACAAATTTGTGGTTATTGTGCACTTGGAATGTGCTAACCTCAGCTGAGATGTGCCTTAACTATAAAATAATAGATTTCAAAGACTTAATTTAAAAAATGTAAATCATAATTTTTATCTTGATTACATGTTGAAATTATGACTTTTGGAATGTAACAAACTGTTTGATTAAAATTAATTACATCAGTTTCTTTTTTGCTACTTTTTGGCTATTGGAAAGTTTAAAGTTATATATGTGGCCAGTATAAGACAGGTTTGCTTTA